TTCCCGTTCGAGTTCGAGTTTGAGTTGGAGTTGGAGTTTGAGTTTGAGTTTGAGTTGGAGTTGGAGTTGGAGTTGGTCTTGTTAGTGCTAGCTGCGCCAGCCAGGTTGATTTGAAACACCGTGGTCACGTCGGTCTCCATGTATTTCAGCGGCGCGATGAAACTCTTGCCGCAGGCGTAACTGAAGAACAGCAACTGCAACGCGTGCGAATAGTATATCGAGACGCCACCGCCGCCCACTTGGCCGTTGTCCCTGATCTCCGGATGATAGACGTCCAGGGTGTTGGTCACGTAGAAAGGTCCGTACTTGGCCGAGCTCACCTCGTCCATTGCCTGGCCGTATATGTAGCCGGCCGAGGATATTATCAACAGATAGAACACGCCATCCTCCGCGTGCATGAACGTGCAATCTCGTATCTTGCCCGTTGGCACCAGGAAATAATACTGCGGGCAAAGAGCGTCCTTCGCCAGATCGTAAATCTTGACGAAATCCGCGGTGACCAGGGCCAGCTGAGTTTGCGATCCAGGCAGCCATATCGCTTTTATGATGAAGTTGCCGGTCTCCAATTGAGGATACAGCACCAAGTGATCCGACACGGTGCCCGAAGTATTGAACGTCAACACGTGGCAATCCTTGAACCCGCATACCGCCAGGAAGTCCTCGTTCCACTGATTCCCAGTTACCGACAAGACGGTGAACGGTACCGGTGCGGAAGCCAGCCTCGTCAACGTCAACTTTCTCTTCGACGAGTCGGGTTGTTTCAACAACGCGCCCAACTGCAACACCGTTATTTTCCCCTTTTCGTGCGACACCGCTGTAGCAGACAACACACAGGAGCACCAGGAGAAATTACAAAACGACAATAAAATTAAAATTCCGCGTTATTAAGTCACGTTGGAATCGTTATTACGTAACAATAATTATATCAACGCAATCGAGGATAGACAGAGATAGATACACGCGAAAGACAAGACACGGGAAACAACGTTGAACGAGGGTGAAGAAAAGAAAAAAAAACAGTGTGGGTCGTCACTTGCCGAGATGTTGCCTCTTGCCATGAGGAGAGGACAAACAACACATCGCAACGCGACGTATCATATGCGCAGACAACAGCTGTCTGATGGTTTGTCCTTGATCTCCCGAGTAGTTCATTCGAACATTTTCGAACGCTCCTTCTTGCGATCCCAGAGTAGGAAGCTGAAATTCGAAACGACTCGTCGATTTCATCTCGTCACGTTACCGCGTCTATACATATATA